ACATGTTTATTCTCAAGACTATGCATTAATTTACAGTGAACAAAAAGGCAGTAAGTCTATAAAAGCCTGAACCCATTTTCATTAGAGACTTAATAAGATTTAAGAATATGCAAGAAAAAATGTTGGTGTTTTAGATTTAGGATGAAAAAATAATCTACAAACAAATAGTAGAATTACCAACTCAAATCATGGGAAATATCCTCTGAGGAAAAAAGACAGAGGATACAAATAACTACATAATGCACCTGACTAGACAGAGGGTAAGGACAGAGAATTCACCATGGGGAGAGAAATCTAGAACAAAGCATCAAACCCAGTTACCCTGCTTCCACACAAAACAGCAAGTAAAATCCACCTGTATCTCATTCACCACAACCCTAGTGATTACAAAAGATAAAAAATAAAATTATACTTAAAAAAATTATCCTGGACCATTCATGTTAGAACACATCAGTGTCATTGACAAGACTTGCCATTGTCTAACAAGACAATCAGTGATTCAAAGTGCACTATGATATTGATTAAAGAGCAGCATAAAAGCATTATGAAGTACAGAAAATACACTGTATCATATGCTAAACTAAGCAAAGTAACAATATTGAAAAACAACCCCTTAACTGGAAATAAATTAGACATAGAATAAGTACCATTAAATAACAGACAATCTCAATTTTTAAGCAGTATAGAACATCAAAATTGCTTCAGTTATGATTCAGCCAAAAGACCCAGGAAAAGCATCAATGAACTCAAAAGATAAATGAAAGCTCAGCTGACAATACTGGAGTGACATAGCCCATAAAACTGAAACACAAATTACATTTACTTACTCTAATACTGCCCCAACCACAGCCCTTCTTATTCTAGTTTCCTGGATAATAACAAATGACTCTGGCTTATAAAAAGCTTTCTTAACTAAAATTAAATTGCCAGATAAGCCCTGCTCATCAGAAGCAGATCTATACAGAAATCACATACAATTGAATTAAAAACAATGACAGACAAACTCAACAGAATTTTCATCTTTCTTTCATACAACTTAAGTATAGCCCCAAGAACATCCCACAAAATGATTTAAGACATGAGAGAAATATATCCCCATTAAAAAAAAAAGCAACAAAATCCAGTCCACTCAATTTTCCAGTAATAAACATTACTGTTACCTGTTGTATTAAAATGGTAACAAAATAATACTTCATGAGAAGAGTAGTACTTCCTTTTAAAACAGCATCACTTACAGTCAGGTTATTCATCTGAAAACAAACATGACTTATAAGAACACTCTCTTCTTGCACTAGTTTCAAGTTGCTATCTGGGGCACAGCACAGACAACTTAATGGCCAAGGCACCAAATAACATAATAGAAAATGAAAAAAAAAACACACTGTTGCTTATGTCAAGTTACAGCAAGAGAAAGTTCTCCTACATAAAGCCATAATGTTAATGTGCAACAGTCAGTGGGATATACAAACAGATAAAGTCCAAT